GTTCCTCAAAACTGAGCAGCCGGGGTTGGCTCAAACTTTGGGGGTCTCACCCTGAGTTTATTTTAAGGAATATTTAAGCACAGAACAACCTGGGGAAAAAAAAAAAAACTTTTCCAGTGATTATTAACTCAATCCTGTGTGCACAATAAAGCATGCATAAATCTCCTGAGGAGCAGAGTAACAGTATGCAAATTGGACTTGACTATATTGAGTCTCTGTAAAGTACATGTGACAGACTCCATAAAGATGGCTTCTATAGATTGACTGATAAAAGCAAGCTTATGATAAGGGTTTGGGGAAGGCCTGGCAGCACAGATAGCACAAAGGTCAGCTAGCAGGAATGTAGCTTTCTGGGCAGATAACAGATTGTGTATTCCTTTCTGTGAAGGAACAGCCCTGTGAACTAACGTTCCAGGTCCCCCTAGTGCTTATGTGAGAACAAGGGCCTCTGGGCCTCCTATAGCCCTGTGAATTAACAAACATTCCAGGTCCATCCAGTACTTATGTGAAATGGATGGTTAAGCATAATAAAAATGAATGGCATGTTTTATGTGTCAGTGAGCTTCTAACATTGTTACATAGAATTTTATTATAGTTAATAAATATAAAGAAGTAGTATGTAGAATGTTTTTAACATTGTTACATAGAATTTTATTATAGTTACTGAATAAACATAAAGAAGTATTATGTAGAATGTTTTGTTTTTTCCCTTAGTTAGTCAATTGTTTTTTTTTAAAAAAATTGAATTTTACCAAATGCATTAAGGAAAATTGCTTTTACTGAAGGACTCTCAACAAAGAATTCGTGATCAGCTTCCATCTTGGATAGATCAGGAAAGAAGCTGGGCCATGGCAACACTCAAGGTATTTTTTTTATTATTAATTTTTAAAATCATGTATATGTCTTTTTTATACTGTATGTCTGTGCACATGTGTGCTGGTGCATATGGAGGTCAGAAGTTAGTGTTGAGTATTTACTTTATTGCCTTCCATATATATGTATGTATGTATGTATGTATGTATATGTATATGTATATGTATATGTATATATATGAGACAGGGTTTTTTATTGAGCCCAGAGCCTATGAATTGTGTAGACTGAGTTAGATAGAATGGCCAAGTACCAGGGATCCTTTTGTTTGTGATAACCAGAGCTAGAACTACAGACTCAGGACATCATGCCTGGCTCTTCATGTATGGTCTGGGGTTCTAAACTCATGTTTACATAGCAGGCACTTTAGCTAGTCAGCTGTATCCCAGTTCCTGTTGAAAGTGTTTATTTTCTGTTTTGTGTGTTTTACTTGTGTTGACATTTTGTATGTGTACCTTATTTATATCAGTGTTGATATTTCTGCAGTAATGACTAAAGTCTCTTTACAATCCCAAATAATTACTGTAGTATCTGCCTCCTCCAGCTTATTTTTAACCCCTCAGCTTAGTTGTGTTTGTAGAGATAAAAGACAAATGTATTTTGATAACTTTATTCCTTCTTTCCCTTCTTTGGCCTGTTTTCCTTACAACTGTAAAGTAACAGAGAAAACAATAAAGATGACCAGCAATTATTGGTGGCTCACTCTGAGCAGTTCTGCAGAGGTTAAAAATGGCTCTTATTTCTTAGTTCCAACAGCGTCAAAGGCAGCTGCTGTTACCACATTGATTTAACAGAGAAGGGGGCAGGATTCAGAGCTGAAGTCTGTGCTTCACAATCTGGGCTCTTACAGCTACACTGCATGCCTTCTTACAACTACACTGCATGCCTTCTTACAGCTACACTGCATGCCTTTTTACAGCTACTCTGTATGCCTTTTTCCCCATAAATTTTTTGTTGATAAAATGATTTCATGTCATAAATTATACTCTTCATTGATTATTCACTTCATGCTTATTATCAGCCATTAAAGTGTCAATGGCCAGGGTTCTTTAGTTGACCTTTCTTAAATCAACCTGCTGACCTTTCCCCTATTCCTCTCTGTGTACCTCACTGTGAAACCTTGTTTTACCAAGAACTCAGTAGTCTGTTGTTTGTTCAGAATTCTCCCATCATTTATTAAAACTGATTAAGTTAAATGTAAATTGTTAAGTTTTATTGTTGAATTTATTTAGGTTACATAATGAAATGTTCTCCAGCACAAAGAATTATTTAGATGTGGGTACAGGTGCTAGATACAGTATCCTAACAGTCTACATGTCTATGCATGAAGTTCTACACTACAGACACAGATCGCCCATGGTTTTAAAAGAAAAATCCATCTGTACAGATTTGTACTTCTGTTCATATAGTCTGTCTGTGGGAAAAGCTGGGGAAAGGGAACATTGAGATAGAAGGAATGGATATATTTGAGTAAATCTCTGAGAGGTTTGTTTAAGGCAAAATTAAGTGTTGAGCAAACACTTAGGAAATAGCAGAGTGGGTTTGAACATTTAGAAGCAAAGGAAACTATGTGACCACATAAGCAAATAGGGTTTATAGAAAACATGCTTTCTGAAAGGATTTGCTGATATTACAAAAGACCAGAGTTGGACAGAAGGTGAATTTTATTTCAAAATTCTCTCTCTCTCTCTCTCTCTCTCACTCTTTCTCTTCTCTCTCTCTCTCTCTCTCTCTCTCTCTCTCACACACACACACACACACACACACACACACACATACTGTAGGGCAGGACTTCAGTATAGTAGTGACTTCATTTCAGAAGGAGACACAGACAGGTAGGAATGCAGACAGTGAACAAGGTGGGTGGTTGCTGGATGTCAGTGTCCACATGAGCTAAAGATATAAAGAACTCTGGCTTAACTAACTTTTCATGATTCTTGCTGAAGGTGACCAAAGGTGGGAGGGAGTAACTAGATGAGAGAGTGACGGTGGGGATTCTTACTAAGCTGCTGTAGAAGTGTCTTGATACGAGTTCCACAGACAAAGTCTTCCACAAAGAAAGGCTGAAACTGAAACCTAAGTGAGGTGCCCTCAGTAACACCATAACAAAGTTTGATTGGAAAGAGCATCCTTGTTGCTAGAGATGTACTGTCACTTTAACATGAGCTGAGCTGTGCTGCCCCTGGGCCTTGCACTTGGTTTTGATGATGGTGGAGATAGCTAGGTACCAATGTCTTCATGTACAGAAAATATCTCTTAGGAATGTTGGGTGATATAATCCTGTCTTGGGAGTAATTTACTGGCTTTAATGTGGGTGAGTTCACTGTACTGTTTCTAACTATGAAATGTAAGACCAACTATCACAAAGTAGAAAACAAGCAATAAGCCTCTACAGTCGTTAGTTTTCTTTGGCTTTTATAGTTTTTATAAAGTATGTTTATGTGCATATGGTTGCAGCTCCTTACATTGGTTTCCATTTTAGGTCACTCTCCCCAGTCTCTACCAGACCCTCTGTTTTGAAGACATGGCACTCTGGCGCACTTACTACCACCACTCAATGTGTGAGCAGGAGTTTCCATCAGTTCTTGCAAAGAAAGTTTCCTTATTTCAGCAGGTAAAATCTAATGTTATCTGAGTGCAGAACAAAACCAAAACTGATGTTTCCCTTGTCCTTGAGATGCCATTTAAGTAAAAGCTTTGCTTTTAGTGTATTGTGTAACTTCATCCATGTGCAGAAGGAAGGTCTTTCTGCTTTGGCCACCACACCCAGACAGAACCCTAGCAACATTTCTGAGTGGGTGTCCCTGGTACCTCTTGTTCCAAGTGGGATCCTGTGATAGGAAAAGAAGTTTTTTTAAAAAGCAGCTAAACTATAAATTGTATAGATTTCCCGTTCACTTATTTTAATGAGTTGTATGTAAGGAGAGGGTTCAATGTGAAGGAAAGGGAGCTTTTAAAACTATTTCAAAGCAGAGCCCTGAGGTGTCAGTGGGTGCCTTTAACTTGAGCTTGGCAAATGGCTCTGGAAATCGGTGCACTAGGAAAATGGTACTTCACTTGCCTCTTCTCTGGGCTGTCCATTATGGAAGCCAATTCTCTCTGTTTTCCTGTGCAGTAAATGTTATCTCAGCAGATGTGCTTAAACCAAACAACAAACCATCTGAAAGTGAACATTTACACATCAAAGGAATGTTACAGATACACAGGACTCAGCAGAAACATAGTAATTCAGATGTTAGGCAGGCAGCTGCCAGATGCTAAATGTTTACCCTGCCATTGTCCCCCCCCCTGGCCCCTGGGCCCTATGTAGGATCTTGAAGACTTATTTCACTCATCCTATGCTTACTTCACGTAGAAGCTTTAAAGACTTTTTGACATAAAAGGGAACTCTTGGTTCATAATTGTGTGACAGTTTCAATCATAGTAAATAGTATACAACATTGGTTACTCTTGTGTTTCTGTAACATTAATTAGTAACCATTGATTATTGTATAGTTAATGCTGCTGTTGAGAAACATCTATTCATGGAATTCTCCATTTTGTCTTAGGTTCTTGTTGTTCAGGCTCTACGTCCAGATAGATTGCAGAGCGCCATGGCTCTGTTTGCCTGTAAGGCCCTGGGTAAGCATAGCCTTTTGCAGTAGCTACACCTGAGCTGGGTGGTTTCTTTTGAACTTATGGTTCATTTTATACTGAACTTAGTAGAAATGTTTTAAGGTCTTTCATTGTTTGTTTTCATTATTCATATGATTTATAATCTCAGCTTAGCTAGAAATACACTTCTCCTTTTTGGATATAATTGTATTCAATGTTTAATTGAATTACATAATTGACATCTAGTTTAACAAAGTAAAAATGCTGAGTTTTTAAAAATTATTGTTATTGTTGTTTTGTTTTTCAAGACAGGGTTTCTCTGTGTAACAGTTCTGGCTTTCCTGGAACTCACTTTGTAGACCAGGCTGGCCTCATACTCACTGAGGTCTGCCTGCCTCTGCCTCCCAAGTGCTGGGATTAAAGGCATGCACCACTACTACCCGGCTTAAAGTTATTTTCTTATAGAAGTATTTTTTATTTCTGTTTGTTATAAGGGTTACAAAGAAGGCATTCAAATGTTAGTGGCAAAAGTGGGAAAAAAATTATAGTTACAATAAAATATGCTGTAGTCTTCAGAAATACAGCCTTCAAAATTAGTAATTTTAGTATGTATAAAACAAAATATTGACCAATTATTTGCTTTTTAGATTATAGGTTTTTTTCAGCCTTACAAAGAGTATTGTCCAAAAAATTAAAACTTATTACCCACCTGCAGATAACTCCATTTCTGTAAGACAATTTAATAAAAACTGTTAAGAAAGTGTGAAAACAGCCAGATGTCATGGTGCACACCTGAAATCCCTGACCTCGGAGCTCAGATTCTAGGCTCCTGTTACCACGTTTGTCTGTTTTTGTCTATGCGTGTCTAATGGACACACAAGGCTAATGCAACTGACGTAGACAATTTTTATTTTTCTATCCTAGCATCTGATTGACTGCTCAGATTAAAACTTCCCAAATTCATATGTCACTCTAGCTCCCTTACAGTTTAGTTGTAATATTTTAGGTTCTAACTCCAAAACTTATTCAGAGTTTGTTTAGTTTCTTGCTACTCCTACACTAAGTTGTCATCATAATTGTCATCTCAGTTGTTCCACAGCTTACATTTGTTTTTCTGTCTTCAGAGTATTTCCAGAATCCGCTTGTCTCACTTCTCACCTCTCACCACTGCCTGCCCCTTACTCAAGTCACTGTTGTATGTGTGAGGTGACTTTCCTCAGTCTTCTGTCCTCCTTTCCTTCAGTTGTAACTATAGCAGCTAGAGTGTCGCGGGACACGTTAAATCCTGTAGCTTTTCTTGTGCAAAACTTTGATGGCATCTCTCTTCCCAAGCATCTCATAATGTCTTTTCTGCTCTCCCTTCAGATCCTATGGCCTCCTCACTCACTTTGTGGTCCATTCCTTGTGCACAGACATGATTCTGGGATTCCAGGACCTTTGTGGTCACTGTTCTTCTCATGCAGTTGTACCCGGTTATCTCCCTCACTGCTTTGTCCAACTGTTACAGAAATATTTTCCTTTTCATTTTGAAAAAAATAGCATCTCAGCCTCTTGATTTCTTTTTCCTTCATTTTATTGCTTTTCTCTGCAACTGCATCAGAATCTGGCATTTTGTCACTTGCTTAAGAATGGCTTGAGCTTCCAGTTACAATGCATGCCACAGGAGGCCCACATATGTTCCCAACACCTCAAGAAGTGTGTAGAACATACAGTACTCAAACCAGGGGCTGGTTTTTTTTCTTTTTTTTTTTTTTTTTTTTTTTTTTTTTCTGTTGTGGTTTGGTTTGGTTTTTAGCCCCTTCTTTCTAGAAGCTGTATAATCTCTGAAAACTAAATGAAATCTTTGTTGCATAAATCTTTAGTCTTCTCAAAATACTCAGACTAAAATTGATTCCTAAGCTAGAGCAGTCTCCGCAGTTGAGAGAGCATACTATTGTAGAGGGCTCAAACTTGGCTCCCAGCACCACATCTGGCAGTTGACAATGGCCTGGAGCTTCATCAGTAGTGATTTCCTAAGAAAGCGTCTTAATTATATTTTGACACTTAATAGATGCCAATCATAGGGATGGAGATACAATAAAAAAGTACCCATTATTCTGTCATTAGCATATATACCAGTAGCTTTTTAATTTTTCATGCATGCAGATGTATATACTTTACAGTATGGGATTTTCTTGCTTATCCTAGTCAAGAATCAGATTAGTTTTCCCCAGCAACCTAGATGTCCCTCAACTGAAGAATGGATAAAGAAAATGTGGTATATTTATGCAATGGAGTACTACTCAGCAGGGGGCGGGTGAGGATGGAATATTGAAATTTGAAGGCAAATTGATGGAACTAGAACAAAACCATCCTGAGTGAGGTAACCCAGACCCAGAAAGACAAGCAAGAACCTTCATCCAGTAACTGATGGAAGCTGATTCAGAGATCCACAGCCAAGCACCAGGCTGAGCTCTGGAGTCCAGTGGAAGAGAGGAAGGAGGAATTATATGAGCAAGGGGTCAAGATCATGGTGGGGAAACCCATAGAGACAACTGACACAAACTAGTGGGAGCTCACAGACTCTAGGCTGACAGCTGGGAAGCCTGTATGGGACCAAACTAGACCCTCTGCATGTGGTTAACAGTTGTGTAGCTTGTTCTGTTTATGGGACTCCTGGCAGTGGAATCAGGATCTGTCCCTGGTGCATGAGCTGGCTTTTTGGAGCCCATTTCCTATGGTGGAAAACCTTGTTCAATCTTGATACAGCTGGAGGGGCTTAGTCCTGCCTCAACTCAATGTGCTAGGCTTTGTTGACTCCCCATGGGAGGCCTTACCTTTCTGAGGAGTGGATGGGGAGGGTAGGGGGACATAGGGAAATGGGGAGGGACAGGAAACAAGTTGGTATGTAAAAATGAATTTCAAATTTTTTAAATGAAAAAAAATCTTCTCAATGTAACTCTAACCAAGCACATGGAAGACCTATATGACAAGAACATCAAGTCTGAAGAAAGAAATTGAAGAAGATATCAGAAGATAGAAGGATCTCCCATGCTTGTGAATCAGTAGGGTTAACAGAGTAAAAATGGCCATCTTACCAAAAACAATTTACAGATTCAGTGCAATTCCCATCAGAATTCCATCACATGTCTTTACAGACTTGAAAAAGCAATACTCACTTCATATGGAAAAACAAAAATCCCAGGATAGCTAAAACAATTCTGTACAATAAAAGAACTTATGGAGGTATCACCATCCCCTATTTCAAGCTATATTACAGAGCAATAGTAATACAAACTGCCTGGCATTTCATAAAACAGTCAAGTGGATCAACTGAATTGACTCAAAGACTCAGAAGTGAATCCACATACTTATGGACACTTGATTTTGACAAAGAAGCCAAAAAAGAAAGCGTCTTCAACAAATGGTTCTGCCGTAACTGGACATAAGCCTGTAGAGGAATGCAAATAGATCCCTATCTACTGCCACACACATAAGTCAAGTCCTAATGGATCAAAGGCCTCAACATAAATGCAGCCACACTGAACCTGACTGAAGAGAGAGTGAGGAATATCCTTGAATGTATTGGCACAGTAGACAACTTCCTAAACAGAAAACCAGTCTTGCAGGCACTAAAATCAAAAATTAGTAAGTGGGACCTTCTGTAAGGCAAAGGACACCATCAAAAGGACAAAACAGCAGCCTAAGAATGGGGAAAGATCTTCACCAACCTCACATCTGACAGAGGGCTGGGGAATGGATGGGAGGTGTGGGAGGAGAGGAGGGAGGGGAAACTTTGGTTATGTAAAATAAATAAATGGTTAAGCAGAAAGTTTGTAAACTATGCCTCTAGATTAAGTTTGTTGCTCTGAAGTGGCTGTTAGGGATGAATTTCACTTAGTAATAGGAATAGCAGCTGCCTCTGAAAATACTTTCATTATTATGGGTTGCTGTTGTGAGGAGTGGAGGAGGGAGATTCGGGGTACAACATGCATCTCCATACCTGAGAGTGCCTCTTGGCCTGTACTGATGGCATTGAATTCATATTTTAAAGTGTTTACTACACAAGTCACGTAGGCTGTCTTGTCCACTTCTACTCATTTCTCCTTTGGAGACATGCGGGAGACCTGCTTGCTTGTAGTTCATTCTGTTGGACATTATGTCTTCCCAGACTCTCTCACGTTTATGTTTCTGTGTCATATTCTTTTACAAATTAGGCCAAACAAGTATATATTTTTCTTATCATTTTTCTTATTTGAATTAGAAACAAGATTGATTTACATGACAATCCCAGTTCCCTCTCCCTCCCATCCTCCCCTACCACCCCCCCCAACCAAAACCCTACTTATTACATATCCTTTCTTCTATTCTTCACCTGACTCAACCTTTCTGCTCAAGCTCTTAATTGAAGTGAGCATTTTCAACTTCTCACTAGACAATGCATTGTGGACAGAAGAGATAAACATATAGTAGGAAACTTGTTATTGCCTATCTGAATAGTCTTACAGAATTGGTGAGAGACTGTGGAGATGAGGAAGTGCAGGTGAACTGTTTGGGTATACTTGGCTCTTAGGGCGCGTTCCTAGGGCAAGACATTTAGCTTTTTCTGAGTATTAGTTTTCCTCCACAGAAAATGACCATTATGTTTGTTTTCAAGGTTCTCATGTAATTAGACAGCAGATAAATAAACTGCTGGGTGTAATGCTTAGCACCATATGTGGTGAACAAATGGAGTCTATGATAATGACAGTAGATTATAGGGCTCCAAAGTACTTGTGATTATTTTTTCAATGAAGAAAACCAGAGCACAATGCCTGTTAGTGACATGCACAAGGCCACTCGCAGGGAAGGGTGCTTTTCATCTTCCAGTTGACTTAGTGTCATGGTGCCAGAAGGGAACACTCTTTATCCTGTCTCAGGACAGAGAAAGTGTTTGCTTGGATGATTTAAAGTCTGGAGATGCTAACTGTAGCCCTCATTTCTTCAGCTGCTGCATGTGGTAGATGGATCCACTGACAGCCATGTGGCATGCAGAGGACACCTCACAGGAAAAGTGTCACAAAAGCACACATTCTTGGAAGCATTCATAAGTAGTGTTATTAGTATTTGAGTGGTTTTTAGACAAAAAATGTAATATAAGATTAAAAATGAATCAAGTAGTCTCTGTGTCAGGTACTTATTTTTATAGTATTTAATTCAAATAGAATTACACCACTTTCCCTACTTGTTTTCTTCCCTTCAGTCACACCCAGCTACCCTTCCTCACACCCTACCTGTATCCCCTCAAGTTCATAGCCTCTTTTTCTTTGATTGTGTATGTGTGTCTGTGTGTGTGTTTTCATATATATATGTACACAAACTGCTGAGTCTATTTTTTTGTTGTATTTGGTTTCAAGGCAACTACTCTGCATTGGACATCCAGTGTGAGGGCTCATTCCTGGGAGAAGCTAATTTTCTTCTTTCAGCAATGATTAGTTGCCTGTACTTTTTTTTTTTTTTTTTTTTTTTTTTTTTTTGAATTTCTTCCCTCCCACATTACCATGTCCATTGATAGTGCCATTTTCTGGTCTTGTTTCTATAGCCATTTCTAGAAAAGAACTGTTTGATAGCGAAATTATTTCCTAGTGTTCTGATAGAGGATCTGTCATGTAGATATATCTGCTGAGGTATGCAGATACATCCCTGTCTTAGTTAGGGTTTCTATTGCTGCGACTAAACACCATGACCAAAAGGCAAGTTGAGGAGGAAAGGGTTTATTAGACTCACACTTCAGCATGGCTGTTCATCACTGAAGGAAGTTTTGACAGGAACTCAAAACAGGGCAGGATCCTGGAGATAGGAGCTGATGCAGAGGCTATGGAGGGGAGCTTCTTACTGTCTTGCTTCCTGTGGCTTGTTCAGTCTACCTTCTTATAGAACCCAGGACCAACAGCCCAGGCATGGCACCACCCACTGTGGGCTCGGCCCTCCCTCATAGATCACTAATTGAGAAAATGCCTTACAGCTGGATTTCAAGGCAGCATTTACTCAGCTGAGACTCCTTCCTCTAATGGCTCTCTAGCTTGTGTCAAGTTGACATGAAACCACCCAATGCACTCCCTAGCAATTCATCACTCTCTGCACTGTGTCCAGTTAGGGTTTTCTGGGATGGTCTTTTGCTGTACAGAGAGGTGGCTCGTACACCGAAAATAATTATTTTTAATATATTTTATAATGAATGTTGCTTTTCTGTCTTTAACTTCTGTAATATGTTTTAGGACTGAAGGAGTTATCCCCTCTTCCCTTGAATCTCAAGCGTTTATACAAAGAGACACTAAACATTGAGCCCATCTTGATAATCATTTCCCCGGGAGCTGACCCCTCTCAGGAACTTCAAGAACTTGCTAATGCTGAAAGAAGTGTTGGGTGTTACCACCAGGTAAGTAGGGACTTCCCTGTTGTTCCCACCCCAGACCTTAGATCTTATCAGTGAATGAATGTCCACATTCAGAACTCAAGACTAGAACTCAAGAGTCTTGTGAGTGTAATTAAGTATCTTGAGATGGGAAAATTATTCTGATTTATGCAGATTAGCCCAGTGAAATCACCAATGTGTTTTTAAAGGGAAGCAGGTGATTGGGTGTGAAGGTACCAGATATGAAGAGGAAGGCAGAAGGCAGGGAGGGGAAAAATGGTTCATTGCCTTGATGTTAGGTCAGCACAACTTCGGGCTTCCAAAGTTCCAAGACAATTTGAGGTAAAGCACTAAGCATTGTGTTTATTTATCAGAGCACAATAGGGAATTGATACATCTGATTAAGTTTGAAAATGACTCTTTCATTAAGATTTATGTTTAAAAACACAATGATTTAAAAATGTAAATACTTCATCCTCATTCAAATGTAAAAAGAAATAACTCTGCAAAGGTAGCTCTGGTCAGTTACAGGCTTACACTGGCAAGCCCTGAGCTATCCATGCAGTCACTGGTGAATAGAGAGCATATTTGCTAATACAGTATGCACTTGTATGTGATCAGTGACTTTGACAGGAAGATGAAAACTGCACATCAAAACTATGAATTATTTAATGCTCTTGGAAAAGATGATTAATTCTTGGTATTTGTTTTTTACTGTTCTTAAAACCTTTATTTTCAAGCCAGTTGTGGAGATTTAGAAATTATTATCTCAAATCTCTGACAATGTTATGTTAAAATGTTGTAGAGGATACTTTTCACAGAGGTTTTTGTTTGTGTAGGTTGCCATGGGTCAAGGTCAATCCGATTTAGCAATTCAGATGCTAAAAGAATGTTCCCGGACTGGAGACTGGCTCTGTTTGAAGAACTTACATCTTGTGGTGCCTTGGCTCTCAGTTCTGGAGAAGGTAGTGTCTTAGGGCTTCTATTGTTGTGAAGAGACACCAAGACCAGGGCAACTCTTATAAAGGAAAACATTTAATTGGGGTTGGCTTATATAACACTGATGATGAATGTTAGAGTTTGGCAAAGATTGTATTCAATGTTTTGGTTTTTTGTTTGTTTGTTTTCACTGTCTTTTAGAACAATCAGGGTTTTGTTGTTGCTTGTTTTATTTTTGACAGGGTCTCACTCTGTAGCCCAGACTGCTCTGTAACCGGTTCACTCCAGTAGTAGACACTTGTTGAGTATATGAGAGGAAGCCAAGATTTGTATGGGGGCTGGTTAAATGTAGCATTTCTATCTGGAGACAGACGACACTAATACATAACTGCTGCAAGATGAGTGTGCACATTGACTGACACTGGTAAAATGCTGGAACTGACGTAGTGAGCACTGGAGAGTATGTTCCACTGAAGCGTAGTGCTTAGATTATATGGAAACAGACAAGAAGTTACCAAGTTAGGGGCAAGGACAGGTGAACTTGTATGTTGCCCCTTAAAACTGACTTTGTAGTAGGGTGTTGCTAACATTGGAATAACTGTGAAAATGGCAATGGAAACAATGAAACCATGAGGCCTGAGTCTAGCTGACAGCTTTGACTTAGTACTTATAGCTGAGGTTGACTTTATATTTATTGTGCTCTAGGCACTTTGTGACCTGGTTGTCATAATCCATGTAGTAGGTACTTGCTCAGAGGTGGTGTAAATTGTAGATCCCAAGTTCATTGACATAGCTAGTAAATTGGATGTCAGCTCAGGGTAACTGCCTCTAAATCCATGTTCCTATTTATTACATGATTTATCTATTATTAAATAGAGAAGATAAAACTTTAAAGGAAATATAACCCAAATATTAAGAAACATCAAAATAAGACAAAGGGAAATGTGTATGTGTTGAAATAACTTTTTGCTTGTTGGTCTGTAAAAAGGAATTGAATTCTCTTCAACCTAAAGATACCTTTCGTTTGTGGCTCACTGCGGAAGTTCATCCCAGCTTCACCCCCATTTTACTCCAGTCAAGCTTGAAGATAACATATGAGGTAAGATAATTCAGGTACAGAAGACCAATAGTGTATACATTGCCTTCTAAAGTTATGTAAACATCTATTCAAAACTATAAAAACTTCTTTTTAGTACTTCTATGAGGTATAAGTTACATAAATAGCGTGAGATGACAGAAAAAGGTTTTAATGCCTTTTCCAAATTTTATTTCATATTATTCCATTATTGTTGAATTTGAAGTAAAAATAAACACAAAAAATCAGACTCCACAATGCAAAATTTACCATGTTATCCATTTTCTGGAGCACTTGGTAATTGTGTTTTTAACTTTCTGAGCCTTTGTGTGGTTTCCCACAATGCTTCAT